CGGAAGGGAAGGGGTGCCGTGTCGTGGGTGGCTACTTGGGAACCCCGTAGGCAGGCTAGCAGAAGAAACAGTGAGATGACGCAGTTCCGTCAGCCGGCCCAGAAGGTAATATAAACGGACCCCGGACCTAAACTCCTTCTTCTAATTCTTGGGCGCGTCGGTAGGAAGTCGTGTGGGTTGTGCGCGGCGCTGCATTTTAATGCATAGGCTACTGAGGCAGGGAACTGAAGCCGGCGTGCTACGTCGAGACGGGAGGTGCGGCATACTCGCTTGTATGCTCACGTAGGCTACTGGTGCATCACACCGAATATGATATCTAATTATCAGGCCAGCGGTGGTGGTAACCAGGGAACATTCCTTCTAGTAACGGGTCAATATTGTTTATTGTAATTATTGTACATAGTATTAAGGTGTTGGAGCATTTTTTTTTCAAATAAATACTTAATAATTTACAAACCGATCACGTCTGTGATTTATTGCCCCGGCAAAGACGCCACACATGGATTCTGGCTGCAGGTTTTAGAGGATTTTTTTCTAAATTTAGCACAGGATTTATCAACTTTATCGTTATCAGGGCCCTGTTTAAGTTTCTGCCAAAAATTCGCCACTTTTTCGCGCAGCATTACATAACTTTCTTTCTACTCCTTGGCGATAAAGGTATACGGTTTCCTATGAGGATGAAGAATCACATATGTTTGTAATTCCTCTGCGTATTGAACTGTTGGGCAGAAGTGAAAAAGCACACATTTCCTATCAAATTACAAAAATTTGTAATTATTGATGTATCATTTTCAGTTGATCAGTTTGTAAGGGTAAATTTGTGTAGTCTTACAATCTTAAAGTAAAATGTGTTCGTATCCCCATATTAAATAATTTTCGCTGCGCACCCAGATAATCTCACGGCACACATTTCGAGAACCTCTATACACGGGTTCTTTGAATTGAACAATTGATATCAATCGCGCAACTTTTCTTGAACGATGACCTTGCTTCCCCTTCGCAGGTACAATAAACAGGTGAAGGCAAAAGCTCGCAGTGAGCACTGATGACAACATTCCAAACACGTCCCTGGCGCGAAATATAAATAACTTTTTGTTGAAGAGAACTCCTGTCCGTAATTTTCTCCAAAAAAATTAAAGAAATGACAGAAACAGGTGAAGATCCATCACAGGAGATACCTCGAATTTCTGAGAGAGTTTGATTTTTTGACAAAGTTGGGAAGGCGCGACTAATTATCCAGAGATTGGCATTACTTCATAAAATCTAGTGGGCGATTTCGTAACTAATAACCCCACTCTACCAGCATTTCTTCAATCCATCCTTCAAGAAAAGTTGCCCGAGTAATACTGTAGTATACGAATAGAATAGTTTTCACAGGAAAAATCTAAGTATTTCTAAATCATAGTACATGATCACTGTGTAATTGTAGACTAGTGGTTCTACAGCAGCACATGTTTTCTCGGATTATTTCTACCTTTTGAAATTGTCGAAAATTCAGAAAATTCGACGAAAATAAGATCTCTATTTTAAGCGTTATTTACGCTACCCAGGGAAAACTGTAACGAAAAAAATATAGGGTCGTTTTTGAGAATTTTTTGTAAAAAAAGTGAAACATCTTCAACCAGAAATCAAGCGAATTTATTTAAGAAAAAACTATTATCAATATAGTACTTTTCCAATTTCTTAAAATGCAGAGGATTTTACAAAAATGCTACCCAAACAATTTTTTTGCCGCCCTCTACTACATTCGAGGGGGAAAAAGAAAATAAGGAAAAATTTGGAGCAAAAATTTGCCACTATCTGGACTCGCGGTCTGCGAAGCTTCAGTTGTGGGCGTTACGCTATCGCATCCGGTCGATTTAATTTGCGGTTACTAGATTTTGCGTTGAAAGTAACCGGTATATAATAAAAGTAATACTAAAAATTAAACTAATATTTACAAATAAAATTAATACATAAATATTACGGTTAAATAAGTTTGTTTCAAATTCGCTCAGTAGGCCTATTTCCTTTCTTGGTATGTTGGATGAGGTAGGTACGTTAGGATCCTTCTAAAGTTTGTTTCTAACTTCTCAGTCCTCTTGTAAATTGAAACGTGATCTGGCTCATGGCCAAATCTGTTGGTCACGGAGGAGTACCCTTACATAGGCTTAGTAACTTGATGAAAATTAATATTATTGCGTTGTCATAACTGCTCTAACAAATTTCCCACAAGAATTGGTCATACCGCCGCTACAATTGGTTACATGCCGCCGCTACAAAATCTATAACATTGTTAATTGGGGAGATAACACATTTGACCTCTTATCATATATTTACATTACGTACAGTTAGTGCAAAAAGTGATCCCAAAACTTATGTTGGAAGCTAAATGTTTCTTAGTATGAAACACGAGATGTAATAAATGTGTTAAGCGTAAAATACAAATTAATATTAAATTTTAAAAGAAAAATGTTATATCTAAAAATAAAACTAAGTATGACGTAGGCGTAGAGACTCACACTTAGCGTAGAGAATGTTCGTACAGTCGACGTAGCTAATAATGGATTAATTAACCTTATAAGATCCAAAAAACTCCGAGTAGCTCTGATAAGAAGCAGAGCATGGTTAATCTTGAGAAGGAAGTTGGCAGCACACCGCGGGAGGTGAAAATGGACACCAAACGCGCAGAAACTAGTAACGCTACAAGAAATGTAATTATAAAAATGCACAATAAATGCGAATCTTTGATGACTGAACATTTAAATACCCCTCATGAAAAGTGCAACCAATAATTAATAGGTTTTGTGTTCATAAAAAGTGAGAAATAGCCCCCGAACAGGGAGACCAAAAGTAATCAATAAAGCCGATTAACGATTTATTATTCAAAGAGCCTCAAAATTAGTGCTGTGAAATTGGAAGAGGATTTGAGAAAACGTGAGATTGAAGTATCACCTAGTATGGTGCGCAATATTTGTAGGGAAAATTGTATCATGCCTGAAAAAAGGCTAGGTGAATAAAGCAAATTGAATAAAGCGATAAAATTTTGCAAAACAGTATCGAAATAAAGGATCGGACTTTTCGAATTCAGTCATATTTTCAGACAAGAGCAAAATGGCATTTTGGGCTCCGATTGGGGGCCCGAATTATTTATTCATAATAAAAAATGTATTTACTTCTAATTAAAACCAAATGCTATACGTTATTTCTGTCGCATGGAGGAATTAACGCTGTTCATATATTGGGGAGGGTAGCAAAAATGTTATTGAATAACCCCCCACCCCTCCACGGATCTACTGCCCCAGGGCTGTAGCTTTTTCTGGGAACTCATGATGTCGCAACTTTTATGCAAGCTTGTCCCTCAACATCTCGTGTCTGTAGCGAAACGTGGTAGTGGTTCCGTGGTAGTCTGGTCGCTTACGAAACAGTGGTTCGTTGCATGTAATCGATGATGTGATGGAATCCAAGATGTATATTCAGATTTTAAAAGAAAATGTCATCGTTAACGCGCTAGAAATGGGTTTTTGAAATAACTTTGTTTCAACTTAAAAGTGACCCTAAACATAAAGCTTTCAATACGGCCGATTGTAGCTGATTTTTAACCAAAAAATGAAATTCGCACACTTCAATCCCTTGACATTAACACTGTTGATCATGTGTGGCATGTTCTCGGAACAAAAAATAGAAAATACAGCCTGTCTAATAAAGAAGTTCCTTAACATACATTCCTAAAATAATTATAATTAATTGAAACCACGACAACAACAGAGTTTGAGAAATGCATAACGTGAAGAATGGAGGTAATGACCAAAGCAAAAGGAAACCCAACCCGGTATTAATTGATGTAATATTTTTCTTAAACGTAAGTATTATATGATGATTTTTTTGAAAGTTCAAAAACGGGCACTTTCTTTTCTTTGTTAATATCATGAGATTTTGTAATATATTGAGCTTTTGTAATATGAGAAATAAAAAAAGAAATTTTTCTGTAGTCTTAACTATGTTATCGACATACCTACAAGTCTGTACATAAACTATAGATATATTTGTCAAATTTTCTTAGATATACAATCACTTTGTGCACTAACTGTAGCTCTTTTCTATATTGAGTAGATTTTACATCATAGAGCCTGGTGCAAGGTAGTAGGTAGTAACAATATTTACAAACAAGTCATTTTTTTAAAGTACCTATTTATTGGGTTTGAGATGTTTTTATTTCATTATTTGTGATTACTGTGTAACATTGTCTTCTCTAATTAATAGGGATAACTAAAGCAAAACATGTTGGCTGACAACAATACATACTCTTATTAGTTATTTCAAACCTGTTTGTTCAGATTATACATTATCAATTTGTAGGCCTACTTGTGACTGATGTACTTTGAATCATAATCATTACTACATTTTTGAACTTTGTACAAACATACAATATGCATTATTTTAAAATATACTAGTTAAATGTTAATGACATACAGAATACATTAGACAGAAAAGTAGTTTTTAATGTTTTCAATTACAATTCCCATTGTGGAGGATACAAGTGGCAGCAAAATCTTTTTACTTGTAATTTTTTTCTCTCAGTTATTGAGAACTTGAATTTTCTTTAATTTGTGATATTTGAAAATAATTTTTAGCTGATGTTGATGTTTTAATAAGAGAGGAGGTATGATGTCTTGGCATATAAAAACTGTTATTAATATTAATTGAAAAACCCATTAGTCAGTTGGAATGATTCATTACAAAAATGTTGAAAATAATTGTATTAACTTATATTAAAATTATACCTAACTGATGTCAATTTCTAAACTGATATCATAAAACAAGATAATGAACTCAAATAATGTACATAATCATCTAGTTTGTGTCCTTTTTTGTTTTTTAATAATAATAATTTTTTTAATAAATTATTTTGAAATAAATTTCTTGAAGAAGCTCAATGCCTTTCAGGAGCCTGTCTATTAGAGAAGTGACCAGCAGATAAGAGAAAGATAGCTGGATGTAGGAGATAGAGGATGACACAAAGTGACCTTTAACTACTCCCTCCCCAGCCTCTCCCCAGCCGGATACATATATATAACGATGCTATGATGGTGGGGCTCAGTCTTGTAGTGTGTGGGCCAGTATGGGGACTCATCTGTGGAGTGCGGGCCTTTGGCTCGTGCTATTGGCAGCTGTCGGCACTCATAGTGCGGCAGGTCAGTAATTTTTTATTTTCCATAAACATTTTCAAGAAATACATTTCTAGGAACTCATTTGTGATTGTGCTTCTATAGTGTCAGCTTTTATATTTTTCATATGGGACTTCATGTCATCTAACAAATTTTCATATAGGCTTTCGTGTGTAGGAGAGCAGTGGATACTATTTTGGGCTACTGCACTCAATGTTAACCACAAACTACCTAATAACAAACTGCCTCTGCCACTCTTTAACTTCTGACATTCAGCATTTCACATTGAAATAAAATATTTTTTGAGTTTACAGATCACTAATTATTTTTCATCTAGTTTATATCAAACCCTTTAAAACTGTTTTAAAATTACTTTATTATAATTCATTAATAACAATTTTTATGTGATGATATTACCAGTTTGACTTAAATTTTATTTTCAAGAAAATTTTTTAAGTAAAAGTGTCTTACTAACAGCTAATCCATAACATCTATAAGTAAATAATCATTTTTCTAACAGTGTTACTAAGACATAATGTTGAGGGAAATGAAAATATTATCTTGTTTATTTAAGTGTTTTATGTTTAGAGCTTAACTCTCTAGTTCATTTTCACACTTTATTTTATTTAATTCAGTTGCAAATTTATAATGTGCTAACAAACAAGTAAATTCATTACATATTTTCTCCTCTTCACCTGCTTATGATATGCCTTAATTTGAGGTATTATATAAAATATTAACTTTCATCACAGAAAATAAATTCACACTTATTTGTTTTCATATTGGATTTCCAATGAAATCTCATAATTAAACTGAGTCGAATAATATTGGCCTCACAAATTTTATTTCACATTTAAGTCTAAAAGTTGCATTTTTGAAATTTTTGAAAAAGCAAAAGAATAGAACAATACGGCATTTATGTCATCTTTTATAGTGAATTTTACACCAAAAGTTAAAAAAAAAAATTGGAGCAGTTTTTGAGAAAATACACATTATTTGTTTGTTTTACATTTCACATAATTATTTACAAGAGAGGATTTCATAAAGTGAGAACATATTCCATTATAGCAGTATTTGTAGCACAATGTCTAATAATCTAACGATTTCATGTGTGAAAAATGAGCACAAATATTTCCCTCAACGTTTGTATGTAACAGTTTCACAGTTTTTCAATATCACGTAACCAACAGATACATTCAGAATACCTCAGACCTCTTGAACCAAAAGAAAATTTAGTCAAACTATTATATAAATTTTTAAAAAACGAAGAAGAAAACTTGAATGATTTGAAATATTGAATGATTTTTTACATTTTAGGATACTCTTTGTTTTGTGATACATAGTATAGCTACAGCATGTGTCTTAGGTATGAGGATTTAAAACTAGATTTGTGGGTGCATACTATAAAATTGAATTAATGAGTGGTACGGAAGGTAAATGAATGATTTCTGTTACATTTCATTTGACAGGTGAAGTAATTAATTTTTTTTTTGTGAGGTTATCTGTATTGCAAAAAATGTTAGAACAAGCTTATTATTAAAAATTTTAAGAAACATGATGTCCTATGTGATTCAGTGTTATAATAATATTTAGAAAATCTATACTTTAAACATTTAGTTCCTCTGTATTAGAATTATTTAGCATATAGAAGAAAATTTTATGCAAATGCTATGTGGGAGAGTGGTTTAGTGAAATGTTTCATGAAATGTGCACATTAATACTACACACAAACTTAACAAAGGTTTAAGAGTAGACATCGTAGTTTCAAAATACCATGAAGTACAGTATTATGAAGTTAAAAAACAAATCTAATTTTCTCACTTCAAGAGCTGGGCAAGAGTGGGCAAACAGCATGAGTAGTAGTTTCAATAGAGTGTACCAAAAATAATAACTTAACAATCATTTATTTGTGATTAATTCCAATACCTTTTTTTTATTTCATAGTGAAGAAATGACAATTAATTCAATGTTATAAAAAAATAATTTTGGCTCATACATGTATCTCCAGTAAAACTGTAACTATATTTTAGTTAAAATATTATTTTAAACAAATTTGTCCAGTTATTGTGTTGTAAATTTGATTTTCATTGAATGTGCTCTAAATGCAAAACACGAGAAAATATACTACAAACAAGTTAAAAATTTACAATAAAAATTAATTTTAATGTTTTGACCAAGTGTACAGAATTGTGGCTGCCTCTTTATGACAAAACTGGGATATCATAGAATTTGAAAAGTAGCACTAGCACAGACAATGAATTTTGCAAAGATTTTACTAGAGGGGTTTGCAATTTTGTTCAATTAAAATAATTATTGTTTGTCAACATGGAAAATGCATTCTCTATTGAAACATTATTTTCAGAGGAAAATAATGTAATATCAGCCTAATACAAGACATTTTATTCATATATACATTTAAGAGAGCAATACATTCAATTTATATTTTTTTATTTATTACCACTGAAAAAGGAATACTCATGATATAAATCAAACTATTCTATGATTTTCCCCTTTTCAACTTATTTTGAGTCAGAATTAATACAACCTTCCTGTATCTTGCAGGTGTATCCTTCATCTTTAGTTGTTAGGGAATGGTATTGTATTCTGTATAAGAGATAAAAAGGACTAGCTTTGCAGTAATTTCTTCCACAGCCAGATAATAATTATTACTTTATGTCTCAGACATTTCGTACCTCTGGACTAAATCATATCATCCTTTTGTGGCACTTACATGTAAAACAATATATAATTACAATTCATAATGATAGATAATATTCTTGGTGACCTTTCTCTGACTTTCTGAACTATGAAATGTCTGTGAACTTGTCTCAGGTCTGGGATATAAGCAGATGTCTGACATTGAACTTGCCCATGAGAATTGCATTTTCTAATTATGTGTAGCTGATCATATCACTTGACCTCCTCCTATCATATTATGTCATAGGTTGTGTTTCTGAATATGACATGTTTCTCAATGTAAAGTTGAGTGTCAAGAAATTTGCTTTGTGGTTAGTTAACAATCGATAAATATCCAAATTTTTAACATACCAATAAACAGAAATTAAAATTGGATTTTTCATAGATAATTTTATTCCTTTGCCCCATATATTTTCTGAAGAGAGGGGAATATTGTGAACTATGTAAATTTCATGATATAGTTTATTCATAGGTGATATAGTTTACACTTCATTATTTTGTGGATAAATATAGAAAATAACAAAGTTTGGTCTTATTTACATCATTTTACTATTCATTTTATGTTTTCGTAGGGAAAACTCCATAAACAGTTTCTTTTATGGTTACATCATTTTTTATTAGAAATTTAGAAAATCTTCAGCATCCAAATTTATCATTTTAATTAACTTTTCTTGTTATGTTTAATTTCTTTTTAACATTAATTCTAAGTTTAATAAAAAAATCCTTTCTTTCCACTTGCAAAGCTTCTTTGGTCTTTTTATATAGAATACTGAAAGTATATATTGGGCTAGCAACATGAGCAAGGTCATGATAGTAGTATCATTTTCTAGTGCTGACCATTGACCCGGACGTATTTGCTAACACCATTATCTTATGCTGTTGATTAGGACAGGTCATAGGTCAAAATATGACTGATTAAATTAATGGTTAAATTTTGAAAAATCCTGCAGCACTTGCATTGTAATAATTCATAACAAATTGAAATATAATATTCCATCATATAATTATATGGTGGAAGGGGGGAAGAACTCAGAATCTTCACCTAGTCATTGCAACATTTTAACAAACTTCTGCTCGACATCTGCCTTACCTCTTACTGCTATTTTTAGTATCAAAGTAAAACTTAGATATTGTCAGAGTACAAGAAAATTTACATCTGAAAAATCATCATTTTCTTGTTGAGTATTTATTGTAGAAAATAGTATAGTCTTACCAGTAAAAATTTCATAAAGATAGTTTGCAAGACTGATTTATAGAGTAAAACACTCTCTTTGTCTAGAAAAAATGGCATTGCTCAGATTGCTTAAAACCAATCTTCTGTATAATGACAATTTTTGAGACATCACTTTTCTTGTGTACCAGAATGTTTGTCAGAATGTGATTATTCTGTTCCCCAGACATCACGTTAAATTTTTATTATGAAATGCATTTTTTGTGTTTCTGATTCAGACAAACTCATGAGGGGCTTTCCTTCTTGTACTCTTCCATAATTCGGTTTGACTTCATTGAAGCTCAGTAGAATGATTGTAATTATTAGGATAACTATTCCTAATTTCAGATTCAGACACAAAATATTCAAGAGTAAGGTACTCATTTGTTTTCTTTCTCATTGCACAATAGAAACTAATGGAAAAGAAATACTGAAATATTAGTTACATTTTGCTTCATTTATAAATGTTATTTCAGAATTGTAAGTTAAAGGTTTACTAATTTTCTGGTAGTAATACTGTACTGGTCAGTCATTTTTAACAGAGCAGGAAAATAATTAGGTCATATTTAGCAAGGCAAGGCTTTCTTGAATAAGATAATATTATAATATATAATTATTAATTCCTCTTTTTTTTCACCTTTTCTAATTTAGCTTGTATTTCTGTCAGTACAGATGTTTGTAATTTGACTAATTTTATATCATTCCCAAACTTAAGAGACTAAATTTATTTTGGAAAGTCCGTATGAATTGGTAGAATGTGCAATTTATTGAGGTTCTGGAGCAGTATGACAGTAATTCTAATTGTATTATTATAGTCTTATACAATGAGAACAATGATTGCCTACATGGGGATATTTTATGGTCAGTAATTTGCAAGGAATAGATACTGAACTTTTTTGTATTATTGGGTACATTATAGTAGTCTCTTTATTACATTTTACTCACATTTATTGTAAACGTAAAAGAATATTTGTTTTTTATTTTTAGGGCCAGGAGCTTGTCCACGAAGTTGTCCCAAAAGTAAGTATATAAGTGCAAAGTTTTAAATATTTATTGGTAATTACACTGTTTTGAAACAAATTGTTTTTCTATGTAAATATTATATTTTTGTAGCTTCATCAGTATTCAGCTATCAAGATGGCAAAAAATACACTTATAGTCTGGAAGGAACAACTGTAACCACGCTGCCTGGAACACAAGGTGATGTGAGCACTGTGCATTTGAAGGCAATTGTGGAAGTAGGTGTCAAAAGCACCTGCTCTCATGTTGTCCGAATCAAGAACCTGCAAATCATTGGTCCAGATGAAAAGGTCAGTTTTTATTTTGCATGTGCTTGAATACAGAAACTTGAAATTTCTATATTTTCTTGGCCATCTTGAATTATCCTGTAATTATTTCATGAAATTTTCAGAAACACATTGTAAAAGAGTTGGAAGGCAGCCCGATCATTGCCAACTTCCAAGGAGGCCTTATCAACAGTCAGATTTGCACAGCACCAGGAGAGAGTCAAGCAGCTCTTAACATTAAGAGGGCAGTGCTTTCTCTTCTGCAGTCATCTGCTCCATCTGGTTCTGGCAGCACAAATATACGAGAGGTATGTAATATTACTGAATCAATTCTGTAGCTTGAAAAGGAGGGAAGTAAGGGATTCAATAATGTAAGAACTTATTACAAGGAATTATTTTCTTCGATAGGTGGACATCTTTGGTATTTGCCCCACTGACATCTCTTTCTCAAGGAGTGGTGAAACAATTACCATTAAGAAGGCAAGAAACTTAAATAGGTGCTCCCATCGTGAGGATATCAAGCAAGAATTTTTGTCCACTCCTTTTGTTGGAAATGCTGTAAGTAAAACACTTTCATCTATAACAATTCCAAATTGTATTATTGATATTGTTATCATTCGTAAGGAGCTTTTTCATTAATCTTCATTGCTAAAAATTTGATTGCTTGAAAGTTATGAATTCTAGATCTGATATTCTATAGGTAATTGCTTCTATGAAATTTATTTCTGTGTTCACTGTTTATAAGACTTTTATAAAGTATATCATCCTCATTTTTCAACTCCCTTAACAATCTTTGGAAAAATGTCATAAAAGTACAGAAATGTATGTCATAGAAATAGAATGTCATAGAAATGTCATCTTGAAGTAGCTTTTTAAAATGAATGTGTTTTTCCAGGATTTGCAGTCTGTTCCTCTTCTTGAGTCCACTCAACATGTTGAACAAACTGTCAAAAAGGGAGTTATTGTAAATGTCGTCAGTGAAGAAACTTATTTGTTCAGACCTTTTGCCAAACAAAGTGCTGGTGCTCGCACTACAGTAAGGACCCAACTAACACTCACTGGAGAAAAGGCTCAAGCTCTTACTGCCCCTGGTAATGATTCTGTTGATAATTTTCTTGATTTTATTTTATTTTATTTTATTTTTTTATCCCTGAGTACACTGACAGTGATTGTGCAGCCAACTCAGTTTTTAAATAGGATTCTTACTAAATTTACCACATAAATTATTCAGTTTACAGCAATTTTTTCTGAAAGTACAAGGTCTCACTCTTTTATACTTGTTAAAAAGGGGGATCAGGGAGCTTTTTGTTTAATTGAAAAGAATAGCTCATTTTTATGTTGGATACATGTTCATGTAGAATAAATAAAATAATGCAAACTAGTGTACATTATTTCCTTCGAAGCATACAAAGAACTATTCTATGTATATTATTAAAAGTCTAAATAAATTAATATACATTTTTCACAATTTTATGAATACCTATAGTCAGGCAGTCAATAGAAATACCTTTCTCACTGACAAATAAGAAGTGTCATGATATAATTATGATATAATTGTGGTATAATAATATAGTATAATGGTATATGGTATAATAAATACAATGTCACAAGCCTAAAGGTACACCTCTTTAATTAACTTCTTATCTAAATGTTTCTAATTTTATTAATTTTGTTTTAATGATGAAAAAATTTGATGATGATTTGGAAAGATGCCTGGAGAAATAAGTAATAGTAATATTCGTTTAATATTCTAAAATGACAATAGTGAAAATTATTAAATTAATTTTTATTTTTGATTCTTACATGCACAAGTTTTGAGAGGGTTTGCTGTAGACAAATAAATAAAAAGTGTAAAGTATAAGTAAGAAAAATGAAATATATTTTATTAATTTTTGTTACAGAAACTGTTAACGTTCCACGATCCATAATCTTTGAAGATGATACCCATCAGTCATCTCAAAAGAGCAACAAGCTGAGCATTATTGCTGCATTGCAGGCTGCCAGAGATTCCATGCCAGATGTTGCTGGTGTTGATTCAGCTCGCAAATTCCAGGCTCTTGTAGGAGTTCTTCGTCACAGTTCAAAAGATGATATTTTATCTGTATATGGGGAAGTTAAAGCTGGAGCAGGATTTTCTAACAAGCAGGCTGCAAGGTAATGACTACTTTCAATATAAATCACAATTAAAAAAGTTGAAGTTAAAATTTCAAATAATATGACACAAAAATAATGTTGAAGGATATTGATATTAATTTGTGTTCTTGTTTATGTCAATTTCTAAAATATAATATATCTTTTTTTGTCAATAGGAAAGTCCTTTTGGATGCTCTCTTCAGAGCTGGCACAGGAGACTCAATTGGTGTAGCAGTTGAACTTATTCGTAACAATGAAATCTCTGGTGAATACACCAAACTTTGGTACTCTGCTTTTGCTTTTGTGCGTCATGCTTCATTGTCATCTGTTTCTGCTGTTTCTGTGAGTATTAACTTATTCATTTAATAGATACACTTTTTGTTTTTTATTTTGCAAATTTTTATTTTGTAACTTTGATGTAGTCTTTATTGGATGAACAAAACCTTCCTCGTGAAGCCCTTCTGGGAATTGGATCATTGGCTGGTCGTTACTGCCACGAGCACACTTGTGAAAATGTCCAACAAGTTAATGAGTTGATTAGTAAACTTGCCAAACGTTTGACAATCAAAATTACATCACGAGATGACGAAAATAAGGTAAGAAACATTTTCAAAATTATTTTCTAAAAGGAAACTACACATTTGATTAATAAACAAGAACAAATCAATGAACTTCAATACATTTTCATTAAAATATTTCTGAAAACAGGTGATTGCTGCTTTGAAAGCTCTTCATAACATCCATCACCTCAACAATGCTGTCGCTGAAACACTGCAGAAACTTGCATCTGATCATTCTGTTCCTATTCGTGTTCGTGTTGCTGCTCTTGAAACCTACCAAAGTGATGCATGCCGTCCTAAGGTGAGTTACTCGTAATTTTATTGATATTTAAAGTGGATTTTATTTTGCTAATTGTTTTAAGAAGACATGTGAACAAAGTTAAATAATTACTGAATAACAAATTTATATCTCAGCAGAATTATTAAATAATACAGATGTATTTTACAATATCTTATTATTATTATTTTGTTAACAATATTATGAAATAAATAGATCAAATGCTGTCTTCAAATTATGAACACTAAGAAATATTCATTTAACAGTGAATAATTGTTAGCTTTGAAAATTTATTCAATAATTTTAGTGTATTGAGGTGTATATAGGATGTATATTTTTTTATTTAGCTCAAAAAATCTGCTTTGGAAATATTGAACAACCGTGATGAAGATTCAGAAGTACGCATCAAGGCCTACTTGGTGCTTGTTGAATGCCCTTGTGGAACTGTAGCTAACAACTTGAAGGAACTTTTGGAGAATGAACCTGTTAATCAAGGTGAAGTATTTTGTATGAGTTAGTGGTGTGTCCTGAAATTTTATAACTCAGAGAAAAAAATCATTAATAGAATTTAACATATTTTAATGAAATTACTATATTTGTTTGTTATTTATTCCTTTATTGACGTAATGGAAAAATATTTTAACTTTCATATATAACTTGGTAATGTTATACATTTAAAAGAAAATAATTTTAAAAAGACTAAGCATGAAAATGTGTTATTACAAAATTTTAAAAATTATTCCTGGTGATTGCAGTGGGGGCTTACATTGTATCTCATCTTCGTAACCTACGAGCTTCTGCTAACCCATCTAAATCTGATGCGAAGAGCCATTTGGGACTTTTAAGAGCACGAAAGCATTACCCTGAAGATATTCGCAAATTTTCTCGCAACTATGAACTTTCTTATATTCTGGATGCTCTGAATATTGGCACTTCTATTGAATCAGATGTCATTTTCTCTCAAGATTCATATGTTCCAAGATCTGTCTTTCTGAATCTCACAACTAACTTATTTGGCCATAGCTACAATATTCTTGAGGTAATTACATGATTTGACTAATGAGTTTTCCTTTTCTCAGGTTTGTGATCAAATAAGTTTTGTAATAAATCAATTGTATTGTTGTAGCTCGGCACACGTGTGGAAAATGCTGATCGACTTCTAGAATCAATTCTGGGCCCTAAGGGTTATTTGAAAACTCATGCACCCAATGAAATTGTTGAGAATATTCAACGTATTGTTTCCAAATACGTCCAAGTTATCAAGGATCGTGCGCAAACTTTAGGTAGACATAAGCGCTCAATAAACAAAGAAGATCTTGACAGAATTAGAAATGAGGTATGTAGTAATAATTTTTTTAATGTATTATTATGTAATTTGTGTCCTCTTTTTTACTTGCTTTTTTCTTTAGGTTGTCAAATCACTTCCTCCTAGTCTTGGTAATGAGTTGCTAGTGGATTTGTCTTTGAAAATTTTTGGTTCTGAAATATTGTGGCTCAGTAATTGTGACCAGATTAAGGACATCTCTCCAGAGAAAATTATCAGCAAAATATTTGATGCTCTTGAAAATTCCATTGAGAAGGCAAAGAAATTTGATGTAAGTACATTACTCTAAATTTCATGGGTTTACACAATGATAAGGTTTAGAAATTTCACTAACACTGTATTCATTTTCAGCATCATGTAAAACAACATTGGACATTCCTTGACACAGAACTGACATACCCAACTGGAGCCGGTCTGCCTCTCAGACTGATTTCTAGTGGAAGCACTGCAGTTCATCTGAAACTGGCTGGACAAATTGACATTCATTCTTTGATTCATGATTACAAGAATGCTCTATTTCAACTTGAAATTATCCCAAGGTAAATAAATTCATCATTTTATTGCCATAAATATATTAAACTTTTTGTCAGTCTAAGTAAGGTCCATTTTGCAAGATCAGCCTATGCTGTAGTGCCTCAGCATCAGATTTACAATTACCAAGTTCATCATGCTATAACATTTGCATCAGTGCAATAAAGTTCTATATGCCTTATTGAGTACTTTTGAAATTTCTTGTGACTATTTGAAATTTAAAAATATCTCTCTGGCCTGAGAAGAATGTGCCCTCAGCTAGAAAATGTTTAGTGTTTTTTTATCAGTAAATGGAATTTGATGTTTCAATATGCTGAAATTACATCTTTTATCATATTATCGGTGGTGGGGAAATAACAAAAGTAACTTCCCCCGATTCTTTCTATATAATGTTTTTTAATAATTTTTACTTTATTGGATTATTATGATTTTATTTTCAGCGCTGCAGTAGAAGTAACTGGAGAATTGCTGATTGATGCTTTTGTCGTCGAAAGTGGTTTGAAGGTTGCCTACACATTGCATACAGCTACTGGATCTAACATTGCAGTAAAGATACTTGAAGGAACTGGTGTAGATGTTTCATTTGGTCTACCACTGAAGAAACAAGACATCCTGACATTGAAAACAGAGGTTCTCAAAACTGTACAAGAAACTGGCCATGCTGTAGTGGACATCCCATTGATTTTCACTGGAACAAAGTAAATACATTTTTTTCAGGCTTTCACATTTTTTACAGTTTTTATATGAAAGTATAATTTTTACAAAAAAAAATTTTCAGGAAAGAATTCCATGGGTGCTTTGATCAGATCAAGGAAATTACTGGACTCGTTGTGTGTGGTGATGTTTTAGTTCCATTTGATAGTGTCAGAAGTTCTTCTGCTTTCTATCCTTTGAATGGTCCTAGCCTTCTTTCTGTGAGAGTGGAGTCACCTGATGTAGATTCTTACCATGTAAAAGCCTACTTGGACAATAAAGGTATAGTAGAACAAAATCAAATTTATGTTTTAATAAATCTTTTTAATTGAGAGTGCAGTCATTTCAATTAGTATTGTTTTAGTAGTATTGTGTAAAGTAAATTTACTCATCCAAACCATTGGCCAACAGAATACATTCTTTCGTCTTAACTCACTTGTATAATTACATTGTTTCCTTAATAATTCACCAATGCTTGGAAGGAAGACTTCCATTTTTAATGTACAGATCAGATAAATCAGTAGAAAAGAATTTGATTAATACTTAATTTTAGTACAGTTTCAGTTGGACCTTATATAAAATTAAACTGAATAAATTTCAACCTGTGATTTTAAGATTGAGAATGATTCTGAAACAATTAGTACATAGTTCATATAAGAGTTTATATATAAGATGTGTTCCTTTCTTGAAAAAGTCTTGTCTCAAGACAATAATAACTTTATTTTTATAGATAAAATATTGTTTTGCAATTCTGAATTTAAAAAATTGAAGGAAAACAAACAAGAAATATTGTATATTCAAAACGTATTTATATTGCAGATCCTTCAAAGCGAACTCTGGAACTGCTTCTTGAAACACCGAATAGTAAAGTTGAAAGGCGTTTGGCATTGCTTGTTGAAGGCAAGACAGAACCTAACAAGGAACTAAAGATCAGTGTGACTTCTCCATGGAAATCTTTTGCATTACAAGGTAAAAATATTTGAAATATTAAAACTCTTGTTATGTAAGAGAGAAATGTGCTTTACTTGCAATTGTATTTTTCAGGTATTTTGATTGATACTAGTGCTGAACAGTCCATTACTGCAAAATTGACAAGTGATGACATACTGTATTCCATCAAAGCTGGAGTAAAGGTTTCTGGTGATGATAGCCATCAGACTTATACTCCTATTTTAGAGTATAAATATCCAGAACAAAAATCTGGTGTGAAGAAAGGAGGAAAGACTTCTCAAATCTACAATGTACTAGGTAAGCTTTCCTTTTTAATGATTATATTTTGATTCATGTCAACATTTTAAAGATATTTGACATAGAATACAACATTGTACTTGTATTTGTTGTCCAGATACAACAATATTTGGCATATGTCAAACAAATTTTTTGTACTTACTTAGCTGTCCATGAGAGTATGTTTTGGTTGTTATGTTGTGACCTTCCTCAGAGCGAAATGCGTGGCTGAGGAAGGTTGCAGGTGACGGACGAAACTTTGGCATCTGTGCCTAGGACGTGACATTTCTCAAAGAGACAAGAAATTACTGACTCCAGCCATGCAAGACTTTGCTTTCAATTTTTTCTTCTTTCTTGATATTTCTTTGGTTGTTTTTGTATTTTATCTCATCAAAAAACTCAATCTCTCTTCTTCTTGTAAAAATTGCCACAAATTGACAACATGAATTTGTAATGATGTAGTTTTTCATAAAAATAATTTTCCAAAATTGTTTGGTTATGAAATGAAAAAAAAAAAAAAAATCTGCATAAATCATATTGCATTGATATTGATTTAACTTATCTATTTCATTAATGAAAGGTTTAATTGTAAATGTAGAAGTTCATACTATTCTTTGCCTCGTACATCAGAATAATTAATTCATTAATAATGAAATACTCTTGCAGTGACTCATATTCAAACAGATTTTTGTAAAAAGATTTGCTTCATTCTTATGCAGGTTCTGTAACAGTTGATCGAAGTGGTGAATCCCGAAAATACACATTCAATAAGGTTGCTCTTCGCACACCCTATGGTAAGTTGTTGCAAATGCTTGACATAAGTTTAAACAATGTCTACTATGTACTATAATGGGAAACTAATTTTTATTTTAATCCATCAGGACAATATGAACTTGATGGTTCTTTTACCAAGGATACCAATTTATATGCTACGGATGCTAAAATTAGCTGGGACAACAAATACATCATTGTGAAAAATAAGCTTCAGAAACTTGGTGATCATCAGTATGAAGCAAGTGTGGATGTAATTCCATCAGTGCAGAAGGATCTGAGCATTGGAGTGAGATGGAAATATGAGAGAAAGTCAGATGAGGTACAAAAATATTTGAAATATAATTTGTCATTTATTTTATAAATTAAAAATGAAATGATCTAGCATTACATTAGACTCTTTGTCATTATTTTGATTATGTTGGACTCTTTCTAATTCCCATGTAATTTTGAAAATTTCTTTAGCTGAGGAATGACTTAGTCATTATTCATGGTCAGGACCTACGGAATGATCAAACACGCATCACTCTTTCTCAATACTTCCATTATAGAATTGAATCTCCTACCAATTTCGATATATCTACTCGCAACAGCTGTAAGTATAAATAAAGTAATTTATTTTATTATGTATTTTTTATGTTTTATGTACAAATGTTGACACTTCTTTTGTGTAGTGACCTACCCAATTTTGAACATCCATGCTCAAGTGGATGGAGCAGCTACACCAAAAAGCATTGATTACAATTTGAAAGCCTCTTATGATATATACAAAGTGGGATCAGAATTACATGCAAAGACTGGAATTAAGAACCCTGGAGACTATGACATTAAATTTATTGTAAGTTTCTTGATTTTGATTAATTACTACTGATTAATTAAATTTATTGCTATACAAAATATTGCTTATCAATATTCTTGAAGAGTTGATATACAGTGAATATGAGTACCATAGATTCCAGCAAATAAAAAGAAAATCATTTTATAAAAATGGTAGATGGATTGATCACAATATTGAACAATTCCAAAAGCCTATTACATGCCTGTAGTAAATTTCTTCTGTCTGACCCACTACCTTGATTGGATTTTTCTTCATTTTCCCTAAATCCATTGAGCCAATGCTGAGTGGGTTCCTTATTATATTTCTGGAGATATTCTTCACTCCCTCCCATATTTCATACAATTTTTTATGTTTTTACATGTTTAATGAATAAATTTATAAATAAATAAACCACATGAACTCATGTAATTGCTAATATATTTGTAGTTGTGTTTCTATCTGTATATATATGTGTGAGCATTTTATTCATGTCTTTTTATTAATGTATTATTGAATGTTTTCCCTCCTTAGGCTGAAGTGCAGAACAACACTTTGAACATTGCAAGCAGTCGAGATATTGTTGATGTAGGAAAATCAAAGTTTGTTAACGTTTTTGAGTTGGTGCCTGTGACAAGATATGAATTAGTAGCAGATGTTACTCATGTATATCAAACTAACAATATTAACCTCCAAAGTGATGCTGTTTTGAAAATCTCAGGAAAGCCAGATCAGTATAAGTAAGTGATTGCAAAGTTTAAATCATTGTATATTTTGCTTATTGGTTTTTATTTCATAGATTATTCTGGAAAACACTTGTGAACTACATATTAGTATTAATATGTTCTATTAACTTCCTAAAATGAACTTTTTTGTTACAGAGTTGATGTAGGTCTTATTTTCAACTCTGCCACTTCAAATCTTATCTTTGACTCACATGCAAAGATTTTAATTGGATCTGATAAACTTCTTGATGCTAGTGCCCTGCACAAGCGAGAGAATGACTATCCAACTGGTCAAAACAAGGTAAGTGTTACTTTTAATATTAATAGATAGACTACTTTGGGAGAGTATAGAAAATTCTTGTTAGATACCTATTCTTGGAACATTAATTAGTTCCATTTTAATCCACAGCTGTACATCAAAAATTATTTGGACGCATCTTCATCCTACAACTTTAATAATGCTGGTGGAAAAGCAACATTGAGTATTGATATCCCCAAGATACAGCGTAAGATCGAAGGCAATGTTATACTTACTATTGAAGGCACAGTGTACACTGCTGATGGTAACCTGCAATGGCATGCTGGAGTAGATCCATCTCAACAACTTGCCATTCATTCAGTAAATGATATCAGGCAGGATTCCATTGAATCTAAGTAAGTGATATAATTGAAAACATTTCTGTTAAGGAAAAATATAATGAAAATTGGCTTTCTAACTTAAATTATGACTTATTTACTTTAACATTATGAATTTCATTTCATATATAGCTTTGGATTCATTTTTGATGATTGTGATGCATACTATTATTTTAGAATTGATTTGCTTCAGCCTTTTGACTAAGATATTAGATGATCATGACTTTCTGCACATCATTCTTCTTAGATGTAAATTCTGGAGAAATATGTTTTTGTTTATTACTTATATTTTCAATAATTGTAAGGCTATTCAATAAATACAAAAGTTAATTTTTATTTTTGACTTTTTCAGGAATACACTTACAATTTTAGATCAAAAGACAATTCTGAACCTTAAGGGTGCTCTCACTGGGAAATTGTCAGATGGCCATCTTATAATCAACAGTGACTTAATTTTGCCTAACAGCCGTCAGATAACAGTCAAATTAGACAGAGTTTTGCAAATACGAGATATTAGTGAGGGTCGTGTTGAATTCGTTCTTGTGGACACACCCTCAAAAGGAAGCCAGCCAAGGAGATTAGTTCTATCAGGAGGAGCATCAAATGTCAATCCGAAATTGGTGTCTTTCGAAGGAGATGGTAATTTAGAATATTTCACACCTGAAGGCAAAAATCTGAAGGTCAATGTGAAAGCAGATAGTAAAGCACAAGATGAGCACAGAAATATTGGAGGCGAGGTATTTGAAAAGAAAATTGTAGTATAATTAAACTTCTTTGTTTCATAATGAAGGACGAATCCTGATCTGTTATGTCATTTTACAGCTTCATGTTGGTGGTTCTCTCATCCCTAAGTCTCTGGAAATAAAATCTAGTGGGGACATTTCCAAGGATGTCATTAGTTACAAGGCAAGTGGAGCATTAGGAAGTGATATCAAAGGTAGTACAGAAGGCTCAATTCATACTGGAATTGGAGGAAAGTCCCCTGTGGAAATTGACAGCACAATAGAAGTAATTTTGCCTAATGAAAATGTCAAACAATTTAAATTACACAACAAATTATCTGTCTCAGTCAAGAAGGATTCTCCATGTGAGGTAATTTTAAAATGCGCAAAAGTATTTTTGGATCAAATATTATCAAGACAATATATTTTTCAAAATCTTGAATTCTTTTTATAATTTATAACAGGTAATATCTAATAATATCATCTCTTGGAATAATGACCACACATTGAAGCTAGATGGGCAATTCACTGCAGATGCTGGTTCTGGCCAAGGATCTGCAAAAGTAGTAATCACTCCTCCCAATGAACAATCTCGAAGTGTTGCTCTAACGTGGTTGGTGCCCACAGCTACTAGTGGAACTGGTATGCTTCTAATGTTTTTAGGAAATTTTGAACATGAGGTATTTATTCTGTAAATGAAATAACTTGGATGTTTTTTTGTGTTATAGAAATCAAACGATCTGGTTCTGCAACTTTCCATTGGGATGGTGACAAGGAAGCTAAATTCATCGGAGAAGTTGTTCTGAGCAAGGGAGATGATAAATCATTCAAAGCAAAATTCACCGCTGACACTCCTTATGAAAAAGTTAAACATCTTGACTTGACTGTTAATTCAAAGGTACATTACAAATGTTACTATGAATGTAGCTTTCAGCTACTGAAATATTTCAAACATTTAAATAAATGTATCAATTTCCTTCCAGCTTACTGACGATAATGTGGAAACGAATGGAGTTCTGAATGTAAATGACAAAAAAGTAACATTGGATAGCAAAGTAGGTGTTCATGGCACTCTCCCTCTGATCGATATAACAGTGGTCTATCCAGAAGGAACTACCAAACTTTACGTGAATTTTGATACGTTGACTCGAGAGCAAATCAAAGGTCAAATTATTAATCAGTGCACACTGTTTGGAGGCTGGGATATCAATGCAAACATTGATGCAACCCTCAGTATTGAAAGTCCTAAACTTCGATTAGACCTTCATGCTCCTCGATTCAAAATTGATAAATGGCATATTGAAGCAGATCAAAGAGCTGTCAAAGGAGCAAAGAAGATTGTATTCTCAATCAAATCCCATGATAAAACTGTGGTTGCTGGAAGGTGGGTTTTTGTCTTAATAATCTAAAGTAATTATTCTGGTGTAATAAGTGATGCTTTACTTTTTCCCTCTTTCATGTTACAGTACAACTCTTCGTCACAAACAGGATGCCAACTCAGAAACCTATGATGGGGCTGGTACCATTGAGGTTGGAGATCAAGGCCCCAAGAGATTCAACTTCCGTCTTGATAGAGTACAACTGACTCAGGATGCTAATCATGAAACAGGACTCGAAGTAAGTGGCTTTCAAAAGGATGTAGAATTGCTTCAATTTAGGCCAAAGAGAACTACTCTGAACTTAATAATGAGAATTGAGAGATAGTGCTTATTTATAGATTATTATTTATTTAAGACATGGACATTCTTGATACCTTACATGAAATGGGGTTGACAAGGTAATACTATAACAATAATTTGTTGCAGTACAAGTTTAACGTTGATGCTGGTGAAAACTCATTGCGTTCTGCTCTGAAATCATCTAATAGGGAAGCAAGTTATTCTGTGAAGTACTGTGCCAAAGATTTATGCTCTAATGCTGAAGCTTCCACCAAAATAGTGACAGGAGGTATACATATTTTTCTACTTTCCTTATCATTAATTCCTATTTAATCATTTTCATTAGCTAATAAAATTTCTCACTGAATTATTGCAATAAAGTGGTGTACTATTGAATGCAAAACAAACCATCTACAAAAGTGTAAACAGACAATATAATTTCATTTTTCATTTTGTTGTCTTAGGGTTGAATGAAATCACTCATGATGCAGTGTTTGTAATTGATCTAAAGAACCTAGAGGTACCTGTTGGCATCTCTATTCGAGAACACACAGAACGAAGAGGATGGTCTCTGAATCATGAAGCTGACATTCAGTTGCAACATGGTTCTCACCGTACTGCCTACAATGTTCGTGCAATTGTTTCAGACAATGGCCTGGGTGAGTGGTGATTATTTGAAATCAGTCTTCATTTTTTAGATTTGCTTGACGTAACATTTTGGAGCCCATTTATTTTATATTCTAAATACCTTCCTAACCCTTTGAACATGCAAAACTGTTTAAAGAATGGTCAAGATTTTATGATTTTGGGGGATTCCAAAACAGTTAAATAGCTTGTAACTTTACACTTCTGCTGCAAATGTTCGGTGTATTGATCTATTAGATTGAGAATCAAAGCAATTCTTTAGTAGCACGCTTTGCTGCTCAAATTCCTTAACTGCACTTTGTGAAGTCACAGAAGTTAAGCAATTCGAGACTTCCTGGTCAAGTGACCATCTGGTAACCCCAGGATATAATGATGCCAAGTCCCTGGCCAAAGGGATAAAAGGCAATGACTGACTAGATTTAAGGAGGATTACTCCATTACTCCATGCATTCAACACCCAAAAAGGGGTTTAAAAATGCGCTGCAAAGGCGCAACAAATTTTTATAAAAAATGCTCCCAACTTTTGCATTATTTAATGAAGAAATGTGTGAAAATTGAAAATTTGTAATTAAGTTCAGTATTACTATTGTTTGGTGCAATATTATACAAAATTCTCTTGCAAGCAATTTGAAACAGTTTTCTTTAACAAAATTCTCAATGATGTCAAGGCTTCATTGCAAGTGCAAAACACATTACGTGAGTAGCATAAACTGCATATCTTTAACTAAGGTTGACTTACTGTAAATCCTTCATAACACGTTGATGAGTTCTGATTCACCAATTGCAATCACTTTGCCATGAGAATGAGAGCAAAAATGAATGTCTCTTGAAATATCATTAAAATAATATGTTTCAGTTGCCAATGTCACTCTTCCTAAGAGAGTATTGTCCCTGGAGGCTCTCTCATCTGTCAAGTTGGAGAGCTCCGTTGGAGAACAAGAGCTAACTCTGCAGTTATGGTGGGATCGAGTGAACAAGCCTTCTTTGCGTACTGTTGCCAGTGTAGCATTTAGTCAAAAGAATGATAAGAATGGATTCCAACTGTCAAGTCATGCGCGCTTCAACAATCCATCTCTTGAAAGAGTGAGTCTAGTAATACTTCTACATTTTCTTTGTGTTTCTCAATAGCTTATTCATCCTAGCTATTAATAAATTCTATAAATTTACACTTTGTTTTTTTAAATATATTTACAAAACATATTAATATTTTCAATGTTATAATGAAGAGGAGTCAGTTTATAATTTTAATTTTAAATACTCATTTATGAATAGGAACCAAAGTAAGTTGGTAGTGATAAACTGAAGGCAGATAACATGTTGAACAAAATGATCTGAGGTCATTGTTTTTTAATGTTCATCCATTTCATTACTTTTCTCAGGAGCTGAGTGTCAAAGGATACCTCTTGACTAGTGGACTAAATAAACTTTTTGATGCATCTCTTGAACTTGATGTTTTCAAGAAAGCCAATCAGAAGATCTTGATTACAAGTGACGCAGGTCTGAATAAAATCGCAGATGGATATAATTTGACTTCCAATCTGGAAGTCAAGAGCAAGGTAATATACCTCAAACTAAAAATGAGAAAGAACTGCTACTATGCTACATTTTGTGTGGCAGTATTTGTGGAAAGTGCAGATAACCTTTATTTCCAATATTTCTTTTTCCCCTTCGTTTTGAAAGAAATATTTGAAATGTTTCACAAACTCAATGCATATAATGAACTTTGAATTGTAATTTTCATTAATAGTCATTTTAATGCATAAATGTTTTGTTTCTTCAGGGTCAAAACATTGACTTGAGTGCTCATGAAACATATGTTGTAACCACATCACAGTTTTATTATTATTTAATTGGCACCTCAAAAATTGGTAAGAATGCACCAAAGGAAATAGTATTTAATGCAGACATTACAAAGGAGAAGTTCTACCTCTCGGTAATTACATAATTCGATTTTAACTTAATAATATTTGTTACCTTCATTTATAAACAATAATTAAATACCTATTACTAATTAAGTACCTATTTAATCAGTTTAAGGTACCTAATGGAGAAGTTATTCTCATTGATGGAAAAGCCCATATTGGATCTAGTCTTCCAGCTGATGCAACCATAGATATTGGAGTTATTGGACTACAACCTGTAGTTATTCATACCACTGCTCAGAAGAGGGGCATAATTGCTGTCACTACAACTATTTCAAGAAAAGGTAACTTTCTATATACCCTCTTGGATCCATTAATATTATTAATGTTAATATATGTGTTACATGTTAGTACATGTTAAGTATATGAGTTTAGAACTTGTTTCACAAATTTTGTAGCTTCTTGAAATCATGTAGTGTTTAAGTGCCATCATTTAGTTGATTCATTAAGGAATTTTGAAGTGAATGAACAAAGCAATTGGAAGCTTTATGTGTAGAAAAATATATACAAGTAATATGCTCCACTTTTTTGCACATGAATATGCAGTGAAGCATTGCTTTACAGGCTAATCCTGCTGATAAATTTTTACTGGAAAAGTGGCACCCAAGAATTAAATATTTTTAAAATAAATAATGCTTCTTGCAATCATAGTAAATGTTAAATAAATATAAAATAAATTTGCATATAGGTACTTTCTTAAAACAATATATTTTTAAATTAAAGTTTTTAAAACGTATTTTTAGGAGCACCAAACAAAAAACTAATCATCTCTGGAGGAATTGAAAATGGAGTGTACTTGCGTGCTGAAGTAATAAAACAATCCGAAAATAAGGAGCTTGCACATATTGTTGTATCTGGAAAAGAGAAAGATTTCTTGAAAACTGATTTTAGTTACTCCACAGAAAATATCAAACATTTCTCAGTAAGTAGCACTTAAATATAAATGATGAAATACTTAATTTATGGGAAATTATTTGATGATGGCATATTATATCTTCCTCATGCAGCAAGAAATTCTTCATGAACTTGAGGAGGCAGTGAAGAAAGGAAGGGACTTTGCTAATAGCTACTCAAATGAAATCTCAAATGAATGTATTGCAATTATTGAGATTCTGAAAAAGAGTCAGCCAAATGTGCCACGTTTGTTGGAAGTAGCAGAGCAAGAACTGAAGAGCATCAGAATTGAACTTGAAAATGATGAAGTATTGAAGTCAGTAACTCAAAACCTGTAAGTAATATTTTTGTTTTACATTCTCTCTCTCTTTATTTCTATTAATTATTTATATTTCATTGTGCTTATTATTAAATTGTTATACTTATTTACATGCATTCTGTAAACTCTGACCCTCAAAACAAAAGATAAGTAATATTTAACAGTATATATTTTTGTTCAATGTATTTAGAAAAACAAATTTCTCATGTCTCTTGAATATGTTTATTGTTGATATATTTAAAGCCATTAAATTTTATAATTTTTGCAAAATAATTTATTATTGATACATTGTAGCCTTTGAATAATTTATGCCTTATTATTCTTGGTTCTCGTGTTCCTAATAATTTACCCACACTATAATTAAATTAATAATCCATTCTATTAACATAAAACAATTATATTTACAGGAAAGATGCTCTTGGTGGTTTACTGCCATCATCCAAAGCCCTTGAGGATGCAATAAAAGAAATTTCTGCTGCTCTTCAAACACTACTCAAAAATCTTCAAAATTTCCAAGTTGAAATTATTGAAAGTTTGAAAAAATTGGCACCTACAATTTCAGAATTATGGACAGCCCTTGTTAACCTAAGTGCCAAATTTTTGGAAAATCTTTTACAAGAGATTTCAAAAATTCTGAATTCTTTGGCTGACCTTTTGAAGAAGTATGAACCAGAAATTAAAAAGCTTATCAACACATTCAGTGAATTGTTCCATGGTGAGAACGAAAAATATTTATTTTTGTTTGATTTTACTATTTTTTGTAAAAACAATTTGTTGTTGTTGTTGTTGTTATTGTTATTATTATTATTATTATTATTATTATTATTATTATTATTATTATTATTATTATTATTTATCTTCTTAATTACAAATTTTCCTCCCAGATGTTACTCAGGCAGCAAGCTCAACATTGCGTAAGATTGCTGACGAAATTGTAGATTTGAGCAAAATTGTTGTTGATGGAATAAAGGATTTGCCTGCCACCGGTGTTCTCAAAGAGAAATATGCTGAGGTATGCAGAAAAAAATCAGTAAAAGATATCATATTCAAGTACAAAATTATTTCAATTATAATTTTTAATTGTTCTTTTTCATGAAGTTTATTGAAATTGTAAGCAAATTGGAAGTACCTACTGGCATTTGGAATGTAGCTGAAGAGGTCATCAATCTTGTGAAAGGATCTGTGCCAAATCCTGAGATACAAGAACTTATCACTGCCATTGAAGCCTATGTTGAGAAGGTAAGAAAAGAAACTTTAAAGATAAATTTAAAATTAATATTTTAATGTTATTTCTTCAGCTCCTTAAATGTTAGTATGATAACACATTACTGACTAGATGACAAATTCAAATATAGGTTAGGATTGATTTTTTTCCTTTCCCAATTCCCGGGAACATCTCGTCTCATTTTGCGTACTATTCACTGAGTGATAGAATCGTCTTTTCTCTAGGTAAGGGAGATTGACAAGACATTTTCTACATCTGACAGAACTGAGAACAAAACCTTTGAAGCTTTGTATGTGTAAACACTGAGAGTAGGCCGACTTTCTGAACAGTGGCATAAGTAAGAGCTCAGTGGTTGCCCCACAAAGATTGAAGAATAATGAAATAGTGGTTGCCTCTTATGAAGAATAATGAAATATTCATTTGTGTGTTCAGAATTAAAATAGTTTATCTTCATTTTGTATTATATTTACCTGAATACAGATTAACTCTGATCTTTTCTTGTTGTAAACTAATTCTTATTATTGAGTCAAAATAAAATCACAAATTGTCTAATTCACTAGAAAATTGTCTTGTTGATGAAAATGTTAAAATTTAGTATTGCCTGAACACTACTTTCTTGTTTTTAAAATCTTTTGTTTTCACTGTTATCTTCACTAATATAATGGTTTTTCTCTTTTGTGTCCTCTCGTACTTCATCACTCGTCACGTTTTTATGCCCCTCTAAAACTTTTGGGCGTTAAATTTACATTCATATTTCATCTTATGTCACACAACAATATTTCCTTTTTGAATCACACGATTCTCTTCTTGTCACAAGCTTCTTCATGGCCTCTGATACTTAAATATAATGTACTTGAAATTTGCATGCTTTAATGTTCGCAAGATTGAGTTGTGAACCGCAAACTCATACATCTCTATTCCTACATTTCACAAAAAATGCAAGCTTTCAAGTTTATTATTGATACATTCTTCAATTTTGTTTATGACCTGACTGGTCCATTTAATTTAATGTACACCTTTTAAGTTACTAGAAACTATTTTACAGGATTGATTCATAATATGGTATAAAAGGCATACACTGCACAAGACCTTTTCAATAGAGTTGTTCATATATGGAGAAAATGTTTCACGTAATTAATATTGTCTATACTAAAGTATTTATACTGAACTTTAAATTCAAAGCAGTTTTAATAAAACAATTGAACATTCCTTGTTTTCATATTTTGTAGCATGTGAAGAAACTGCCTGTTGATGATAGAGCTGAACTGAAGAAGATATACGAGAAACTTGTGGTGGCAATCAAATCTCTGGTGAACGAGATCCAAAGACATCTAGTTGCTCATGAACCTGGTACTGGCTTAATTTCTTACAAGGTACATTTTTTCTTTTCAATAAGTAAATTCTCTACTTAGCATTGCTTCAAAAAAGTATATATAATTGTATGTGCTATTACAATACCATGATAGCCCACAATTTTTAATTATAAACTGTTTTTAATTTCAAGCTGCCTCTCTCGCTGACCACTCTGTACCAAATTCCTCGCTTGTTTATTGTGCATCTGAGCCCTCTATCATATCTGGCTTCTGATGATTTGCCCAGACTTGTAGACTTGTATTATGCCTACAGACCATCTCTGAACCCACTTGAATGGATACCTCCTTTCCGGGGTGAGACTTATATTTATTTTGATACATGTTCTGATAGTAGTATTCATTCAAATTTCTGGTTAAAAATGGTTTTAAAACTTTTTCAGCCACTGGCATCCTCATCCATTCCAATAACTTTATCACCTTCGACAACCGATATTACACATTCAAGGGTAGCTGTTCATACGTCTTAGCTCAAGATTACCTTGATGGAAACTTCAGTTTGGTACTCACTTTGGATAATGGAAAACTGAAAGCAATTACTGTCAGTGACAACAGTGACTTAGTTGAATTGAGTGTTGACAAATCGGTATGAATATTCATATTGTGTTATATGTAACTTCCTCATTTTAATACTTGTATGTGAATGTATATAAATCAAGGTCTCTTTAACAATTCTAATGCGATGTGTTGTCAATAGCTGAAGGTAAATGGGGCAGCCTCTGAGTATCCAGTTCAGCAAGGAGACATTCAGGCATGGCGACGTTATTATAGCATCAACATCAAGAGTAAAGCTGGCATATTTGTTCATTGCCATACAAACTTTGATATCTGTGTATTCCATGTTTCTGGATTTTACCATGGACGCACTCGTGGTCTTTTGGGTACAATTGATAACGAACAGTACAACGACTTCAGCTTACCCAATGGAAAGGTACTTTCATCTTATTGTCACAAATTTTTAAACATCCAAATATTTTGTACAATTTCATTACTATCAATGATTCATTAATACTTTGTTCTGTAATGCTTCAAATATAGGTTGTGGAGCAACCTGGTGATTTTGCAAATGCATGGAAATTGAATGGCCAATGTGCAGATACTGCAGTTCAGACTATTTCTTCTGATAGTTCTGTTAAGGAATGTACCGACATCTTTGGTGGATATACTGTTTTGAGGTAACATTAAAAGTACTTTCTTTCGTTATTAGTAATTTTATCCATATCAACTGTATGAACTACAATTTATTTTGTTGATCTTGGCAACATAAAGTATGTTTTTATTCTGTCGTGGCTAAACATAATATAATCCAAGTGAGAATTTTATTTCACAGTTAATTCAATTAATACATATCTCCTTGACAACAATCTCTTTAAAATGATGAAAGATGAGTTCTATTTGAGCAAACATAATACAGTAACCCCAAGTAAGCCCAAGGCAGAATCTGAAGGAAACAGTATTTTTTTCTGTATTAGATAAGATTCTGCACTACTGCAATGCAATATTGCAGAATTCACATTTGTCAGAACCTGATTTATGTTCACATTTGACAGATTTCCACATTTTACTCATTCCGCATTGAGCAAATTTTACTGTATTTATATAATTCATTGAAATTTCCTCACTTTTGTTTATAAAATAGTAACTGATGAAGTAATATATGTCACTTGGGAATAAAAAAAAATTATTTCACTTGTACACCATGAATTACTGTTATAATCATATTTATTTTGAATTTTGTTTAGAGCATGCTATCCATTTGCTGATCCAACTGTGTTCCGTGAAGCCTGCAATAGCGCTGTTCCCCAGGCAGACAACAAGTTAGAAGTCGCATGTACTTTTGGAGCCTCATATGTTGAATTGTGCCAGAGGCGATACAATATTCCAATCAATTTGCCTCAATCTTGCCAGACTCTGAGTAAGTATATTTTTAAAACTCTTTTGCACATAAATTCCACATAAATTATGTGAATTTAAAATTAAAATTCTTTTATTTCATTAGGCTCTGCAAAATGTAACATTGTTGGAGGTGAGAAGATTGCCCCTGGTGAACATGTAACAGTGAAGTCACCACAGAAGGCTGCAGATATTGTTATTGTAGTTGAGCAAGTTGTGGGCAACGCTGAAGTGTTTAGAGAACTGGTTACTCCACTTGTAGTAACACTGAGTAACGACCTCAAGAAGAAGGGAATCACGTACGTAAAATTCATTTCTGACACTATTGATGTGAGTAGAAGGGGCAAATGGACACAATTTAATTGTTATACTTGGTTACTTATGTATTGAGTAATAGTAATCCACAAAACATCCAATTAAAGTGTAGAATGGTGAGCTGATATCTCATCATTTGTGAACCTAATCTGTAGAGTTATAATATTTCAATAAGTTAATTTTAATTGATAGCCCCTCAGGTGGCTCATTGGCATTGTGCTATCTTTCTGTCAGGCAATCCCAGGTTAAATTTCTGGCCAGGGCAAAAACGAAGCTGTAGCTTTGTAATACAAATCATCTCGATTTCTGTTGTTGAGGGATGAAAGATAAAGCTTGGGTAGGCCAACTAAGCTAGGTATGGGGATATGTCATGCTTGTCATATGACTCCCTTACCCCCAGGTGTGGATAATAAATAAAAACAGTGCTTAGCAAGGGGACACCTCCAGCTGGCAAAAGTCAGGTTAATCTGATGATAAAATGCCAAATAGGTATATTAAATACATACATATTTTAATTGCGAAGAATGTATTAAAAATAACTTAAAAAATAAAATAAAAATGAATATATATAAATAAGAAATGAATATTTCTAAGAATTCTCAAATCAGTTATACCAGTCAACAAAAAACAGCAATGCATGTGCATATGTATTGCACATGCATTACAAATACGCCTATACATATGCACATATCTTGCCTCCTGTCTTCATAATGTGATTAGTGGAGTAGACCAATTTATTTCATGCATTGTTTTTCCTAAAATTACAGGGATGTGAATTATGCACTCATCGGTTATGGTGCTCCTGGTCAGAAATGGCCGGCCCATCTCACATCCAATGGCAACATTGGATTTGGAGGCAAAAACGTAAAATTCTTAGAAAAAGAACCTCTTCCTGAAGTAAATTTAGATAAGGACCATTGGGTGCAGTGGTTGAAAGTGAAGATTGAATATCTATCTCAGCGAATCCATCAGTCTGAAGCTTACATCGAAGCTGTGAATTATCCCTTCAGAGCAGGAGCTGCTAAACTCATCCTTGGTGTTACTGCTTCTTCTTGCCCTGACACTTCAGGTTTCTTGTCACAGGTAACACATACACTTCTTGAAAGAATTAGTTAAATTCTTTCAGAGCATGAATATTCAGTAATTGTTTTAATGTTTCAACTCTCTTCTAGAATTTTCAGTATTTTTTGTTTCTTTTGTAAGTTTGATGTAAAATGGTCACTTGTTATGCATTAATTACAGATTCGACAGAAACTTGCCAGAAGAACATTCACCAGACTTGGTCTGAATATACATCAGATAATGCCTATTGAAGATTTGCGTATCACTGGCAAGGATCAAGCCAAGGTTAACTCTATCGTTGGTAAGTAACTTGATATAGCCAAATATATTGTTTACATAGCAAGTGAGAAGTATTCAAAATATCTTTTGTTTCTGTAGGCTTTGATTCTACAGCTGTGTACACTCTGGACAAGAAGAAATCTGAAGGTGATGCAGCCCTCCGTAATGCCCTTGAATACAAGTCAAATATCTGTGCTGATGTACTCCAGGCTGTGAGTATTTATGCCCAAAAAACTTTTGTTTAATTTGTTTTAATTTATATTATTGAAATATGTGAATATTTGGGTGTTTTTCTTCTTACTTCTCTGTAGATCTTGCCTTGGAGATATGTTTTAACTCTAACTTGTATTTAACATCAATAATTTATATTTTAAGTTATAATTATTTTTTATATGTAATAATTTTTTTGTTTCAGGCAAATGGTGTTGCATACAACAGCCTTAACTTCCTGAAGGCTAAGGGTGCAGAGAAGAAGCAGTTCGTAAATGCTGTGTCTTCTCGCATCACTGCAGCCCTCACAGGATTTGAACAGACTGAAGAGTGTTTATGTTATCTGGATGATGGAGTCCATCCTGAGACCTTGTGTCACGTGACTGATCGAACACCGGCAAGTTCACTTCTTTCATTGATCTTTTACCTTAAAACTAGATTTTTCCTAAAAGATTTAAAATAATGTACACAAATTTATTTTCCAGGTGGCTAGGAAGGCTGGTGGAGGAGTAAAGGGTTGAAAGACCTAGGCCTGAACGTAGCATTAAAATAAAATGTGAAAAAGTGTTTGTATGATATGTGTTCTAGTGAAATTAAAATTATTGTTAGTGTATCTTTTGGAAATAAATATGTCACCTCCATGTAATGTGTGTGAATCAGTTTTACTATGCAGGTTTTGATGTTCAGTATTGTTACTTTTGTCTATGGCACTATACTGCAATCAGTATATCTCTGTGTGCTAGATCTGTACTCTTCATTTGTAAAGAAAAAAGTATATCTATATTTTCAATTACATCTATTTATTATACTTATGTTACACTTAAATAAGCATACACACAAAATCCTGTTATTGTCATGGACTAAGGTGACAAATATATGTAATTTTCCACAAGTTTCCTCTCGTTCTAAATTTATTCAATTCCCCATTTCTCTTGCAGAATCCATTTGTAGATCCTATTCTTTGAATACAAAAATAGTAACATCCTATTTCCTGAAAGTTATTCTATTATAGCAAAAAATACAAGAATCCCTCTATAGTTAATATGCTAAAAAGATATAATGGTTTTGTACCATAAGAAATCATTGACAAAAACTGTGTTGCTGTAAGTGTGCTACAGCTGGGAATGTCTAGGCAAATATATTGAAAAACATGTAGAGGCCATATTTATGTTTCTTAGACTATATTCTACAAAATTAGTCCTATTAGTTTTGGAGGTTTCACTCTTGTGGGTATTCCCAATCTACAGTGGTTAGAAACAACCAGAATCTTGAAATCTATATAAACTTCCTCTTCTTTTCTTTCTCTGTAGGCTTGCACCTTGCTATTCCTGATCATATAAAGGCCAGAACGATTTTTTTGTAGAGTGAAATATGTCAATAGAAGAGTTGGATGCTCTGAACAAGATGTAGTGGGTCGGTTTGAAGAAACAATGCTAAATGTTAATGGAGAAAGGCTAATTGATTTATGCAGGGAACAAGTAGGTATTGTAGCCAATACCATATTTCAACATAAGCACATCCACAACTACACTTGGGAAGACTCTGCAAGGCACAATGGAGCAGCCAAGCCTGTGGTCCAAGGCTTAATTATAGAGGCATCAGTGTTATAGTCTATAGCAAGATTGTTCTTTAATATTTTGATTTAAAAAATAGAAAAAGAAATATCTGGTTTGAGTGAGGAGCTGTGTGGTTTTAGATTCGGACGATCCTGCCTGGATAACATTTACTAAGATAAATTATTGAGAAATGCAAAAGCAGGAATGTAAATCTTTACCTGACATTTACAGATCTTGAAAAAGCTTATGATAGTGTTTTGCAAAAAAAGTTATGGGAGGCAATGAGAAGAGTAAATGCAAAAGAAAAGTGGATCAACATTGTCAAGAAACTATATAAGATCACTGTAGTGAAAATTAAAATTGGAAAGATGATAACTCAAAATATATTTGTAAACAAAAGTCTTAAGCAAGGAAGTGGCATATTGTCAATTTTGTTCAATATTTACCTTGAGCCAACTCTACATACACGGTACAAAAAGTGTTTGGGCATGAGAATTGAAATTGGAGATGACAATCTTCACTCTCTTCTGTACATAAAATCTTAATTACTCAAAATGAGCTTAATGAATATATGCTAAGGACATGTCAAGAGGAATATAATAGATGAGGTTTAGATATAAATTATAATAAAACCAAAGCATTGTACGAGCGTTAATGGACATAACAAGTAGGTGGTGATTCAGCTAAAACCTGTAACAACTTTAAATACCTTGCCTGAATAATAAGTAACACTGGTGCAAGAGAAAAGGATATTAACTCCAGAATAGTAATGGGGAAGAAAGCACCAAAAGCTCTACATAGTGAGACATGGATTACAAATATTCAACAACAAATAAAGAAAATATTCCATAGCATGGTAAAAAATATAGTCCTTTACGGAGTAGAAATGTGCCACCCCCCAAAAAAATCAGAGACAAAATACGAAAAGTGGAAATGGTTTGTATGTGAAGATGCCTACATTTAACATGGTATGATAAAGTCCAAAATGAGGATGAATGAAAACAGACGGAGGTTATTTGTTCAATTATTAAACGATTAGAAAGCAAAGCACTTCAGTGGTATGCCAGAAGGAAGATAGAAAGGCCAACTCTGGAATGGAAAAAATACGTTAAAGAAGGCATAGAGAACATAAGTTCTGGTGACTGGAAAAACAGATCTGTGGAGGTTGAAAATGATAAACTCCTAAAGCAGAAATGCTGAAGAAGAAGAGCCTAAAATTTTGGGTTGATACTTTCTTGGGTTTCTGAGATTTGTGTATGTTAGCCAAATGTATGATACATTTTTTTGGGTCTCTTACATGATGGAAAAAATTTTCATATAAATTTATAATGTATACTCACTAAATATTGCAGTACCTACTACTGAAAGATACTCGTGTAGGAAATTCACAGCTTTCTGTGAAGATGAGAATCCATGTTTACTGAACTTCAAAGTTTTGCTTGTAAGTTTAGGTACTTGTAGATTGATTGTTTATTAAAGTGTAGTCCATAATGAGTGAATGAAATGGGTAAATAAACGGTAAAAAAACAAAATAATATTTGTTAAATTAATCATATGTATGAAATTCATCCAGATATTTCCTTTTTAAAGTTTCTTGTTTACGATCACAGAAGAGTGTTTTGTGCCCTTGCACATAACACAGAAATAATTGTTTCTGCTCTTCCTCAACAGTCACCAATTTTCAAAAATCTAACATTAACTTGACTGCTGAGTCTTTTACAACTTCTAAGGATATGACATAACTTAATATTTTCCATAAAAAAGCTTTTCAGGAATCTGTCATCAATCTTTAAGCGTGAACAGAGATATTTGCTCTTTGGTAATACCAAGTCAAGGATTTTCGTGAAACCATAAATTAAATAGATGAGTTTGATTAATAGTAGATTACAAGTCCATAATTGAAATAATGCCTTACCTTATGAAGAGTTTGATATTTCTTTACAGTGTGGATTCAGGGGTGGAGGGCATGGGAGCCATTGGCCCTAAAAAAGTCCAAATAAGTTTTTGTTTGTTACGGTTTCCCTTTTTTATTTGGTGACACATGTTTAAATATATATTTATGTCACAATTATGAAATTATTTTAAAACTAAATTTGTATAGAATTATATATACACTACAAAAATAATATACAATATAATATCAAATATGTTTGTTAGTTTACAAAAATCTATTATGGACCATCCAAAAATGATCGGTTTGATTCGCTCTGGCTTCTTTACAAGATATCTTGCAAAGCTTGCAAGTTCTTATCTCCTTACCACAAATTTTTAATTGGGTTTGGAGTAAATATATTTTTAAAGAATAGATAACCTGTGCTCTGCATCTCATTTCGTGCATGATACCAGGAGGCCTGATCATCAATTTTTTCATGATCATTGTCTAAATATATTAATAATGATATCTTGCAATATGTTTTTTAATTCGTTCCTATAAAGTTAATTGGTTCCCAAGATTCTACATCCATTTTCATGTTTTTCCCATAATCAGTACTCATTTGAAAGTCTTCTGGATTAATTTTCTCATGGTTTTCAGAATGAGTTGGCACACGTGATGACAACAGGCAAATAACAGTTTTCTTTCAATTTTTTTTGTTACAAAAGAGCACAAGCTGTCTTAAAACGACATGTATAGGAAGCACTCGTGTCGCAGCACGCTACTTGTTTTGTGTCATTGATGTCAGAATCTTGAAGCGCTTATGATATGGCTAAGATAACAATTTGCCATCCCAAAGGATGGTCGCAATTTCTGGAATATTGGTTTGGAAATCGTTTGTTATCGCCTAGGCTATTTTCTTCCATGTCTAAAAATTCGTATTGAATATTTATTTATCGGATAATCATCAATATTGAGATACAACGCTTGTTTTGCAGCCTGAAGAATGTAAACAGAGTCTTTGTCGATTAGCTTTCGGTAGAAGTACTAGATGAAAAGAAGAAGACATTTGGGATGAAGTTGGCGAATGACTATCCAAAGAAGACGGTTTAGCAATCAACGTTAATTAGTATAATCCTTTCTTCTTTTTCACTATATTTATTTGTCGCACTCAATTTACTTTCTCGCTACGGAGTAGAGAGAATATTATGTAACGGCAAATTTTCGGCCGAAAAACTCGTATTACAGGACCCTGGTAACGAAAACGTGGATAAATGCAGTTGATAAATTTAGAAAAAAATTCTCTAAGACGTGATGTGGCCATGTGGGTCATTGATACCGAAAAATCGAATGACGGCAAAAGTGTGTCTGTCCGTCCAACCGTCGGTGAAAAACCCTAGCGGCTAAACTGTTTAGCCGTTTTCTCCAAAATTAACTGTTCTCAATTGATCTGAGTCACGACTTCTTGAATTTGAAACCGATATTTTAGTTTTGGAGGGTACTTTACATGAAGCACCTGGGATATATATATATATA